GACAGCAAGTGTTAACATTCTTCTTTCTTTTTCTCTCTCCCTTCCCAAATGTTTTCCTTTAACAAACAAGAGCGAGGCTGCTGGCCTGCACCACTTCCCACTGTCCAGAAACACCTAATCCCGTATTGCTCATGTTAATAAGGGCCTTCTCCTTCCTTCTTCCATACCAGAGAGGCGTCAGTGGGGGATTTCCATTGCAAATATCAGCTTCAGAGGAAACATTTTCACCAGGGCTACCACAGGGGAGAATAGGGCCATAGCTCAGTGGCAGAGTAATGCCTGCAAGCAGAAGGTCCTAAATTCAGTTGCTGGCACTTCTAGCTGGGACTAGGAGAGACCCCTGCCTGGAACTCTGGGAGAACTGCTGTCACTCAGTGTAGACAGTGTGGAACATTATGAACCAGTGGTTGCCTCTGTAGGAGGAGGCAATGTTCCAGTGAAAGAGTCACATCGCTGCAGCTGCTATTGTATTTTTTAAAAAATACAATATTTGACAAATGTCAAACAGTGTCAGGATGCTGTCAGCGGCTACTGGCTGGCTGCCCAGGAAAGTATAAAGACAAGGAAAAGTTTCTTACCTTCCTTTTTTATTTCAATATTACAGAGAGAGGCTATTGAACCCAGCCTCTTGGATAATGGCGTTGTCCTGAGTGAATCTACACACACACACACACACACACACACACACGTCTCTCCCTCTTCCTCGTTCATCATTCTCATCGTCTCCTCTACGGGTCCTGCTATGTGTCTTTGAGCTCTTAGCTCTCCTACTTTAAAGGCTCACCGGGTTCTGGGAGATGGGGAGTCTGGAATGCTTTCTAAAGGCACCGTGTCAGCCAGCTGCCGTTCTGGTCCTGCCTCCTCCTCTCTCATTATTTCCTAACTTTTCCCCTCATCTGCCTCTGAGCTGTGACCGCCCTCAAACACCTGTTGTCAATCTATACTGTCTTCCTCTTCCTCCTCCCTGGAAGGGTCAGGCTGGGGAGGCAGTCTACCCAGACCCTGACAAACAAATGCTTAAAACGTAATGCGCTAAATGCTAAGGTGCATCTGATGTCCTCTTTGGTTCACACGGCCAAGATCAGAGATAAGCCTCTGCCTGCTCTGGGCTTGAAATCTTTATCATCCATGCCATACAACTGTAGGTGATTGACAGGTAGGTGACCCCTCACCCACCTGTCAAAAATGGTCCATGGAGGGTGGATTCTGGATCTGATCCTCAGGTTGAAAAGGATTCCCCATCTGCTCTTATGTGACAATGGCAGCATAATTCTGGGAGATGATGGGGACATTCTAGGGTTCTCATTTCTTTTTAATTACATGGGTATGCTCCTCATCTTTGGGGTGGGGGTGCAAAGGGAGAGGCTACTTGTCCCTGTGGGGCTTTGTTTCTGTTTTTCCAAGCTTCCTTCCTGTTCAGGGTGAGATGTTCCACTTGGGTGCAGGAATGAAGCTGCCTCTGTGATGTTTCTCTTTCTCTAGCCATTTGGGGCCAGGCTTAGAGGGAATGTGGGCAGCTCTACAGCAGTCCTGCTGCCCAGGTCTCCCGCAGCTCCCATGAGACAGTTTTCCTCTTTCCAGCTCGCTCCGATCGTTACCACCACATTAACTCATATGATGAAGATGACACGACTGAAGATGAACCTGTGGAAATAAGGCAGTTTTCATCTTGCTCTCCCAGGTTCAGCAAGGTGAGAGTCCTCACTGACTGCATTTAATTTGAATTGTTGCTGTTGTTTAACACTGGTGCTGTGGTTATAGAGGGTGCGCTCAGAAGCCCAGAGTTTAAATCTCACCTCAGCCTCAAGGTCACAAGTGTCCCTAACCACTTCCCTCTCTGTCGCCTCTCTTTCTTTCTGCAAATAAACGAGGATATTGTTACTGGCCTACTTGGCATGGTTGCTGTAAGGATTACTAAGATAATGTGTGTGAAATGCTATAAATACTTTTAATTGCTCTATGAAGTGCTACTGTTGTCTTCTTCATTCTTCTCCTTACCATCAGCCAAACACATTAGCAATATGATCAATGAATGTTAGAGTGATGTTGGATTGAAGTTAAGTGGCTTCTAGCTGAACAGGTTTTAAAGCAATAAATGTATCAAGATTAAGGATTAAGACTAAAAAGATTAAGAGAAATGGAAAAATTGGTTCAAATAGGTAAAAATTTAATGTCATAATATATTAAGATTTAGGATTGGAATTAAAAAGGAGGGAAAGAAATTGCTGGGTTTATAATTTGAATTGGAATACAAAAGAGGGAGGTATGAGGAAGTCCGGGAAATAAGTAAACCTAAAAGAGGTTATGAAAGGACGGAATTACTTTTAACTGTTTTTTCCTTTTTTTTTCTTTTTTCTGTTTTTACTTTTTTCTATTTTGTATTTTGTATGGTGTATTGTTTTCTGTTTTGTTAAAATCTTCTTGTTTATTAATGTGATTTTATTCTTTCTGAAACTTTAATAAATATTAATTAAAAAAACAAACACATTAGCAAAATGTGTTTGGGAGCACAGTGCAATGAGGAGTCGGGATTTGAATGGTGTATGTTGGGGGTGGGTAGTCAATAAATGTATTGGCTATCTTCATAGCGCATCTCTATAGGGAGGCAATACAATAGGAGATTGTCAGCAGCAGCACAGCCCTATGCAAACTTACTCACTTAAGTGGGCAGAACTATGGTTTCCAAGTTGTGTGTTTGTTGAGCTAATGTGTGGGTGTGGGTAGGTGGCTGGGTATTTTCAGGCGAAGATTGGCAGGAAGAAGGGATGCTTGAAGTCTCCCGCATGGGCCAGATCTGCACACTCAGACCTTTCTAAGACTGTTCCCAGCACCCCTGGTATAGGATCCAAAACCAGCAGTAACCCTCACTGATGGAAAACATATACAGTGGTACCTCTGGTTACGAACTTAATTCATTCTGGAGGTTCATTCTTAACCTGAAACTGTTCTTGACCTGAGGTACCACTTTTGCTAATGGGGCCTCCCACTGCCGCACAATTTCTGTTCTCATCCTGAGGTAAAGTTCTTAACCCCATGTACAACTTCTGGGTTAGCGGAGTCTGTAACCCAAGGTGTTTGTAACTTGAGGTACCACTGTACTTGAAATCACCTTGTGGGCAGTGGGGGATTTTCTGTGGAGATCTGAAAGATTTGGGGAGGTTTAAGAGCACAGCAGTGCTATGTGTTAATTCTTGGTGGCTGAGATACTTTTCAAATTTTCCCTTACAAACACCAAAGAATGTCTTAGAAGGCTCTGGGTGCTGTGTTTTGTTTTTGTTGTTATATCCTCCACACAACATGCTTCTGAGTGTGTGTCCTCAGGGGCAAGTTTATTGCCTAATTAATCGAATTACTTCTAATCTAATTACATTTTCACCTGTGGTTTTAGTACTTCATGAATGATTGATGGATTGTTTTGTGGATGGTTGGGTCAACTGCTTTGCGGCCGTCTGTAGTGAAAAGCAGTCTATAAATAAGGAAAATAAATACATATTTATTTATGTAGACAAGGATTAAATGTAAGGTATTGGTTGTGTTTAGAATAGATTTATGAAAGATTTAGAAAAATTATTGATTAGACTATTTGTGTGAGATTGTATGGGAAAAATACGGAATCACAGATACAATCTTGCTTAAAATGTATATAGGAAGTGCAGTGTAAGCGATGGAAGTCAATCAATGAAATTTTATTATTATTTTCATATTGAGATATTTGTAGAATAAACTTGGAAGAAATCCTTCCAACTTTTCTTCTTCTTCTTTTCTCTTTATTTTTTCTTCTTTTTTCTTTTCTTTTTTCCTCCTTTGTTCCTTTTTTCATATATATGTGCTTATTTGAAATATATATGTATGTATGTGTAATGGTTCAAGGGGTTGCTCGTGCGTAAGCCGGTGCCCACACCTGGCTGGGTTGCCTAAGTGAACCTTTTCTGTCCGGACAGCCACTCACCCGTGGCTGTCTCAATCACTGGCAGAATCCGTCAGTGGGCGTTTCTTAAACTTCTTCCAGCATAGAAGTTCTTTCACGCCCAGTCGCCTCCTACTTTCCCTGCGCGGAAGCCTTCTGCGCAAGGAAGGCGTAGGCAGCGGAGGACCCTTCCTCCCCCCACTGGTCCCAGGCAAGGAGTCATGTGACTCCCTCTCAGATTCCCCCATCTGCCCCCCTTCTCCACTGGAGCTGAGCTGATTCCCTTCCCCAGAAGATGGGCTGTCCCTCCCAATCCCATGACGCTCTCTGGGATCCCTCTGGAGCTCTCTCTCTCCCTCCAGCACTGATGGCAGTTCCCTGACAGTATGTATTTGCAATATTTTGCTTATATTTTGTAACAATTATGTTAAATAAATAAAAAATAGAAATAAATACATAAGCAATAAAGCAGCTCCTTATAGCACATTGCTGTACCATTTCTCACCCTTCTGGCCTTTGCTTCCTGCCCCCCTCAATACAGGTGTACAGTAGCATGGAGCACCTCTCGCAGCATGAGCAGAAGACTCCAGGTGTCACCAAGAGGGACCAGAGCAACAAACACAAAGATGAGAAGCTCAGCAAAAGGGAAAGCCTGGGCAGCTTCACCCTTCGAGAGAAAAGCTGGCGCACCAACTCCCCTGAAATGTGAGTCTCCACCCTGTGCAATAACAGCTGTGGCTTTTGTTCCTCAGCCCCCAGACCTGGAGGAGGCTGAGGGCACTTGGAAGAGGAGCTCTCACTCCAGCTCTGACAGGCAAATGTGGGCTTCAGGGTTTCCTGGATATTCCAGGGCTCTGGTCCCAATCTCTGGTCCCTGGCAGACACTAGCTGCTGTTAGTCCAGCACTTCCCCATATGCCCTGAGGACTTAGCAGAGAAAACTAGAAATATCAGCTGACTACAGGATGCTTAGAAAATGGACGCCGTCTGTCTAACTAGTACATTAATCAGCTGTTCCCAGAATCACAGAATTGTAGTGTTAGAAGGGACTGTGAGGAACATCTAGTTCACCCCCCTGCAATGCTGGAATCTGTTGCCCTACATGAGCCTCAAACTCACAACCCTGAGATTAAATCTCATGCTCTACCGACTGAGCTTAAATGTAATGCATTTCTGAATTACCGAAATCTCAGTGTAGGTGCAATATAAGTGAGGCACGGACTAAAGTACAGGATGACATAAAGTTCAACAAACAATTGCTTTCTCCTCATTCTTTGGAGGGAAGATAATCTTTTAAAGTTCTTTTTCATTCCTTATTATAGTACAGTGCTACCTCGGAAGTCGAACGGAATCCGTTCCGGAAGTCCATTTGACTTCCAAAATGTTTGGAAACCAAGGCATGGCTTCTGATTGGCTGAAGGAAGCTCCTGCAGCCAATTGGAAGCCGCGTAAGCCGCATCGGACGTTCGGGTTCCAAAGAACGTTCGCAAATCAGAACACTCACTTCCAGGTTTGCGGCATTGAGGAGCCAAAACTGAATTTGGCTCGCAAGGTGTTCAGGATCCAAGGTACAACTGTAATGCTCTCAGTGCAAAATATAACGCTTTAGGCATTTATTTCCCAACACCACCACCCCTGTACTCTTAAGTTGCAGCCCTAACAATTAAAATGTCTCCTCACTTATTGCAACTGAATCCACTGAAGATTCACTTCTGAACTGGGGAACCTGCAATCTTCCAGAGACTCTTGGACTCCAACTCCCATCAGCCCCAGCCAGTGTGGCCAGTGGAAAGGGATGATGGGAGTTGTAATCCTGAAGCATTTGCAGGGCCACAGGCTCCCCATCCCGGCTTTAGCTAAAGTAGATTGTGCTCCAGTTAGTAAAGGTAAAGGGACCCCTAACCATTAGGTCTAGTCGTGACCGACGCTGGGGTTGCGGTGCTCATCTCGCTTTATTGGCCGAGGGAGCTGGCGTACAGCTTCTGGGTCATGTGGCCAGCATGACTAAGCCGCTTCTGGTCAACCAGAGCAGCGCACGGAAACGCCGTTTACCTTCCCGCTGGAGCGGTATCTATTTATCTACTTGCACTTTGATGTGCTTTCGAACTGCTAGGTTGGCAGGAGCAGGGACCGAGCAACAGAAGCTCACCCCGTCCTGGGGATTCGAACCGCCAACCTTCTGATTGGCAAGTCCTATGTGCTCCAGTTACAGCACTAATAATAAAAAAAAAGCTCTAAGGCCTCCTGACACAAGTTGAGCCCTGGCTGGCATTTTGGACATGGCCTCAGGTGTTTGGGGTGGGGGGGGTGAGCCATCTTGCTTGTTTTCTGTCTCTCAGGAAGCGGCTCTCAGCCTCAGAGTCCTCCTACACCGAGAGCGATTCCAGCCCTCCGCTGGGTGCACGTCGGCGCTTTTCGGCCCTGATGGACACCAGCCGTTTTGCCGTGCCCCTGGAAACCGACAGCGAGAGTCTTGGCAAGGGGCCTGCGAAGGCTCCTGCGGAAAACGGGCCCCCGGGGTCCACGCCCCAGGTGGAAGGCAAGGAGAGCAAGGAAGGGGCAGCAGGAGAGGCTGGGCAGAGTCCTGCCCCTGTAGAGACTGAGGCAGGTGAGTAATGGCCCCTTGCTGAAAGCCCTCACTCTGGCAGCTAAGGGGAGATGCCACAGTCAGGGGCCCAATTTGCTGTTTACATGAGATGTGCCTATTACAGTCTGAACAGATTCTTGGTATGTCGCCTCCCTTTTGACATCTGTTTTGTGCAGCCAAAGTCCTCTCCCTTCCAGCTTCTGGTGAGGAGATGCAGCCTGGCTCAGGGAGACCACACATCCCTAGGGAGCAGGGAGCAGTGCACCCCAGACCCTTAAATCACCCCTTGGCAGATCCAAGCACTCCAATCTTGGTTCTAAGGCAAATCTCAAGTGTACAGTTAGCCTCTCGGGACCTTTCCGGTAGGCATTGCACAATGTAGCGGTTGCAGAGGATCCAAACGTCTGTTTTCCCATCAATTGCCAGGAAATTGCAATTTCCCAACATTCGGGCTGCAAGGTTTTGTTGCTGGAGAAACTCGAACCTTCCTCCCACCAGCACCGCACAAATCTCCTGATAACGCATCCATTGCGATAAGGAGTACACTAGGCAATGTGTATTTGGTGCAGGCCCTTCAGCCGATCGCTTGCAACCAATTCCATTCTTGCACAGCCTCCGGTAATTTCAGTGGGCTTGCGCAGGAAAATTTCCTGGTGGATTGTGACTTATGGGTTGGATCCATCTGCCTCCCACTCTGCCGCCTAAAATTTGCTGCGTGAGACAGTTGCTTCACGGTAGGAATGGCTCTGTGGCAATGGGTGACACAACCCTCTTCCTGCCTCTGCTAGGGTCATTTTGCAACCCTTTTCTTTCTTTGTTTACATGTTGGAGGTGAAGTCCCACCCCATGGTGCCATAGGAGGGAGGTGCTCCATGAAGTGCTTTTAAAACAAAAAGCAAAAAAGGGGTGACTGCCCCTTCGCTGCAACCTTGCCCCTCTGCTTCTTCAATTTTTTTGTTTTCTCCCAAACTACTTTACTTGGGAGCAGGCATGCTTTTGTTTCGTAATTTGGTTTTTTAGAGGTTGCACACTCCCCTTACCCAGAGCCAATGCACATCCTCCTCTCTTTTCCCCCCAAATAGATTCTGGCACTAGATTGGGGCTACTAGCAGGAGTGCAACGCTAAGAATAAAATGTGGTGGCTGTGAGCAGATTATTTAGTAAAAGCCTACCAAGCTGCACATTCCACCATCAGCTGTCTCCCTTCTTGAAGAGTGGCTGGGGAAACCCAGCCAGATGGGTGGGATATAAATAAGAAATTATTGTTATTGCACACAACAAGCCCCCCCCCCCCTGTCCCTCAGCACTTGGGTTGCCTACCCTGTTTCTACCCCAGGAACAGACACGTCTGCTACAAGTTCTCAAAGGCTCTAGCAAACCCCTGAGATTTCCAAAAAGTGCAAATGCAGCAGTTACTTCTATTCTAGTAATATCTGCCAAGAAGTTTGATTGGAATCTGGGCTTTCCCCACGTTTGTCAGAGCTTGTGTGGTTGCAGAAAACCCAAAATGGCGAGAGCCTTAGCCCAGGTGTGCGTAGGATCAGACCGAAAGGTTCCTCTGCTACTGGCATACTGTACTAAAACAAGCCCTTATCTGACCCCTGGTGATTTTAACAAGCCCTCAGCTGGTGCTCTTGGAGGGGGTAAGGTGCCCAGGGTGGGGGGCGGGTAGAGCCATCCCTTTGCATGGCATCCAAGGTGTTAGCCGTGTCTAATAAGAAAAGGGAAAGGGCAATGATTCCTTGCAGAGTCTTGCAGCCCAAGCATCGAATTGCATGGCTTCAGCACCTTTATGCAGTCCACGGAACTGAGGGCAGGCAGCTTGGCAATTGCAATATCAGGTGTGCATCAGTAGCACTTACCATGAGGTCCTTTTCGCACTATTTGTGAGAGTTTGGTGGGCCCGCTGGGGCTTGGCCCTAGGCCTCTGAGCTCCGCTGGGGCGCAACCCCATCTCCTCAGCTCCACCTCAAGAAGGCCTAGGCAGGCAGAGTCACCCTGCCTGGTGCTCCACCCGCCGTCTGAGGAAAGGCGAAATCTTTGGGCATGGTGTTTGTGATCCTCTCGGGTGGCTGGGGGTTTGGACAGTCCCTACCGCGGCCCCCTCTGCTCTGTGCTCCTTGTTTGAAGGCGGGGGCCCCTGGCGTGTGGTCCTCTGATGTAGGGCTTGAGTCATCATCCCTCTCTCTCCCCTCCCCAATAGGCAATAAATCAAAAGCGGGTGAGCTACAGCCCCCAAAGGAGCTGGACCCATCAGCCCCCAAAGCCACCAATGACTTGGTGCTGCGCCGGGCCCGCCACCAACAGCTCTCAGGGGACGCCACGGCCGAGAAGCGCAGCTCCCGCACAGGGGGCAAGGTCATCAAATCTGCCTCAGCTACTGCGCTGTCCGTCATTATCCCCACAGGTACGGGCCTCCTCCTCTCGCCCCCCTGCACATAACCAGCAGGCACAGCACTAACCCCATAGGAACGGCATCCCACTTTGAGCCTGGCACCCCACCCCCTGCTCTCAGCCCATCCCCTGCCCCCAGGGGCACTGGGCTTCTCACTACAAACCGTCCATCCTGCTTGACAGCATCTTGGCCTGTCTTTCATGCTGTATCCACCCGCCCTTGCACAGAACTGCTCCCCTTCCATCGGACCGGCCTGTCCCGGCGGGCCGCATCCTGATCAAGACCGTCCAGTCCCTGAAGACAGGACCCATCTGTGGCTGTTCCAGTAGGAATGAACACTCCCCACTCACTGCAGCCTTCATCAGCTCACAGCCCCCAACCTCTCACTTATCAACCCTGCATGCTCTACCCACCCTATCGGCCCCTCTAACATAGTTGCTGAGCTGTGTGCATTTTGTGCCAATAAAAAAAATAGGTCTTCCCTAAGAAAAATGGAACTCTGGGCCATGCACAAACTTATGCAAATGAAGCATATTTGCATGTATAACTTCCTCTGTTGGTTTAGATTTTGCAGCTTCTACAGTTTTGCATAGTTTGTTCTGCTTCTGTCGTTTACAAAGAGACAGAAAGTAGCTTTCAAGGCACTGAGGACCCCCTGAATGCTGGGAATCTTATTCAGTTACACCGCTTAAGATTTAAGCAAGCATTGCCCACACACTGTCAATTGCACCATGAGGGCTGGAAACTTGCTTTTAGTTTAAATGCAAAGGGAGGTTCTTGGGAAGCTGAACGTTGTGCCAAAAGCCCGCAGCCTTCTGCAGCTTGAAATTGCACCATGCAGGCCTTTGTCTGTGGCAGGGGTCTATAGCTGTATGCTTAAACTGGGGGTGGGGAGCCCTTTCTGATGCTGTTGGGGTCCAACTCCCACCAATCCTAGCCAGCATGGCCAGTGGTAAGGGATGATGGGAAGTGGTAGCCCAACAGCACCTGGAGGGCCACAGAGAATAGGGAAAGGCACCACTTATTTTCCCTTTCCTGCTAGTAGGGCACACATCAGGCTTCATTTGCCTTTGGGACCTGCGGGAGCACTTTGCCCTAGCCTGCTCGACACCCACCTACCCCGACGTACCATTTCCCAAGCTCAAAACTGCCCTTGGAAGTGTTGCAGCTTCTGTACTTTTCCCTCG